TTTATAATCCGAATCAGATCATGCCACTCCCCAGCTTAATACCCTCCCCTGGCTTTCCATCTTAGAACTCAGTCTGGGCTGGGCACGGTGGTTCACGCCTGTAATCCCAGCACTTTGGGAGGCCAAGGCCGGCAGATCACCTGAGGTCAGGAGCTCGAGACTAGCCTGGCCAACGTGGTGAAACCCCATCTCTGCTAAAAATGCAAAAATTAGCTGGACATGGTGGCGTGTGCCTGTAATCCCAGCTACTGGGGAGGCTGAGGCAGGAGAATCGCTTGAACCCAGGAGGCAGAGGTTGCAGTGAGCCAAGGGCACACCACTGTACTCCAACCTGGGTGACAGAGCAAGACTCTATTTCAAAAAAAATAAATAAATAAACATTGTTTGACCCCCTTGCTGCCAGGGCCTGCATACCAGGCTTTCTGTGATCTGGCCTTTCACCACTTCTCTGACTTCTTATTCCTTTTTCTCCTTTGTTTACCTTATATCAGTCTTATATCAGGATGTCAATCCCAGACATCCTGATATAAGACTATGCCAACCATGTTCCTGCCCCAGGGACTTTGCATGTGCTGTTTCCTTATTCTAGCACATTCTTCCCCACATCGTTTTATGGCAGACTCTTTCTTGACTGTCTGGTCCTAGAATACACATCTGTCTCCACCTGCCACCCCAGTCTTCAGGAGCCTCCCCCAACTCACAGTGACATTACTGTTTCATTTCCTTCATGGCCCATCACTATTAAGAATGACCTTACTTCTCTACCTCTCCCTTTATTGAAATGTGCCCAAAAAATGTAAGTTAAATGAAGGAGATGGGCTGAGTGATTGGTAAACTCCACCAACAGCAGGTTGAGACTTGTGCCTTAGGTCTTATAAGACATCCTGGAGTCATGGAGTGATGGCCTTTCACAGCCATGTCAGATCACTTGGTTGCAAACTGGTTGGATTCTGGCCTACAATGAAATGAAACTAAGTCTCAGATCCATGACTCATGTGAAGCTCCCAGTACCACTCAAAATTAGAAATTCTAAAGGGGGATGTTTCCTTATAGTGGTAGAGCCTCCCATTATGTTTATTTTAAATGTCACAGATTTATTTAGAAAAATAATTTGTTTTCTCTGTTGAGAAGGTTGAGTTTTCTTGCATACGTGTCTAGAAAGTGGAATGGGTGGGGAGAGGCAAGAACACTGTCTTTGCTACCTTTTGATTAGATGTGAAGAATAGGCATCCAGGCTGGGCACGGTGGCTCACACCTGTAATCCTAGCACTTTGGGAGGCCAAGGCAGGCAGATCACCTGAGATCAGATCACCTGAGATCAGGTGATCTCAGCCTGGCCAACGTGGTGAAATCCCATCTCTACTAAAAATACAAAAATTAGCCAGGTGTGGTAGCACATGCCTGTAATCCCAGCTACTTAGGAGGCTGAGGCAGGAGAATCACTTGAACCCAGGAGGCGGAGGTTGAGGTGAGCCAAGATCACACCACTACACTCCAGCCTGGGTGACAGAATGAGACTCCATCTCAAAAAAAAAAAAAAAAAGAGGCCTCCAGTATAAGCAGATAAAAAGCAATTAGATAAACAAGGAGCTCTAAAAAGCCTAGTATTTTATTGTTGGAACCTCAGATCCAACCTGTGCTGAATTTGTCTGTGTGGGTGGAAAGTGAATTTTTGCAAGCTGAATATCTTGGATTTGGAAGAAGTTTCTCAGTTTCTCCCATATTGCAAAGCATGGCACGTGTTCAGTTATGGATTTCCACAAAACTGGCAATCCCGAACCAATGAACAGATGTGGTTCCAAAAGTTCATCTGCAGGTTTGTTTGGCATGCAGAATGCATTTTCCTGTAGAAACAATGTCATAAATTAAGGATTGATTCCCAAGCCAGCCCATAAAATTCAAAATTATTTAATTTCAACAAATATTTATTGAACACCTAATGAGAGCCTAATGTGGGGTGTGAGATAGCTAGGTGGTACTAAGAAATTGGATGCCATTCTTGGCTTTAAGGAACTCACGTGCTAGCTGGGAAGGCAGACCTAGCAGTGGCCAACATTCATTCATTCAATCCTACATCCAATCACAAATATTTTTTAAGTGCAACAATGTGCTAAGCCCTATGCTCAGTGCTCAGGGTATAGTTCTGATCTATATAGAGCTTGCAATCTAATGAGGGATATAGATAATGTGTATCTGTTAKGTTTCTGCCCTGGTAAKGCTGCATAACAAACAACCACCAAATCCTTAGTGGTCTAAAAGAGCAAACATTTATCTGCATTTATGTTTCTTGCTCATGAGTCAGCCTGTCAGCTATGGGAAGAAGGGTGGGGTCAATGTCAAGCTGAAGGTTGAGTTCAGTTCTGTTTCCCATGTTTCTCATTCTGTATGTGCTCTTCTTATGGTGGATAGAAGTGGCATGAGAGACCAAGCTAAACTATACAACATATTCTAAGCAGCAGCTCATATCATACTGACCAATATTCCATCGATAAAGCAAGCTGCATGGCCAAGCCCAACATCCATGGAGTAGGGAAATAGATTCTATCTACTCTAGTGGAAGATACTGCAAAGTGACCTGGCCAAAAGGTAGTGTGGGTGTGTCATTCTAGTACAGAATGGATTGAAGAATTGGGAACAATAATCCACTCTATCAATAAGTAATGGAAATGAATGAATAGAGTGTCATAAAGGTTAGCATGGGGGAAGCACAGGATTTCATAGGGGTGCATAAGAAATATCTAACCCAAACTTAACAGGTTGAGGAAGGTTTCCTGGAGGAAGGGGTACCTGATCTGAACCTGAAAGGTAGGAATATATCAGCTAGGTAAAGATGAGGCAGGGAAAGCTGGTAGAGGGGTCAGGCTGTACAAAGGCCAGGAGAGCTTGGCTTGAAACTCAGTATGGATGGGTGTTCAGGAGAGCTGAGGGGTGCTGGGAGATGAGGGTGACAAGATAGGCAGAGGCAGATGAAGGTAAGGCTCTGCAAGCCACATTAAAGAATTTGAACATTGTTGGAAGAACCTTG